CTCGCTGCTAACCTTGAGCCTCTGTACCATTGTTGTACGGTGACATCCTTTTCTTTTTTTACAAATGCTATCATGGTTGCACTGTCAGAAAAAAACATCCAGTAAACAGCAAAAAAATATCAGAATAAACTTTTTTAAAACTATAGAAATGCTTATGAATTTTTTAAACTATTTCATTTTTGGCTAGACTGCAAGCAATTACTATTTTAGTATAGGAGTTAGAAAAAACATCCAGTAAACAGCTTGTTTATTAACTCCCAACTAAAATAGTAACTGCTTGTAGTCTAGCCATAAGTGAAATAGTTTTAAAAATTCATAAGCATTTCTTTTTTAAATTTTAAAATTTTAAAATTAAGTTTATTCTGAAACTTTTTGCAAGTTTACAACTATGCAGCAACATAACTATAATATAGTATAAGTTAGATTACATGAAAGCTATGCAATGAATAATAGAAACAGAAGTTACAGAGTAAAATGACAATATTCTTGCCAATCAGAAATCTTTTTTTATTTGTTAATATTTTAGAAACAAGTACTTTGCTTTAGGTATTTGATAGCAAAGGCTGTAAATCAAAATTAAATTGTAACTATTACGTAGTATTTGCTATTACCTAGTATTTGGTAGTAACTCGAAAAAAACGTAAAACAGTTTATGAGATTCTGAAATTAAAAAAAAAGTGTTTCATTTGAAAGAATTGTTAATTTTAAAATAAAACAAAAAATGTAGAAAAACACAAAGATACTTACTTACAATGATGTATACACTGGATGCCATAAGCTAACTTTATCAAAAACAGAATATTCTAAAGCCTTTTATTTTAACCATGCTTCTAAATTTTCATTATTAAATTCTAAAATCATTGTTTTCTTATTTTTATGTTATAGATTATAAAACACATTTAAGTATTATTATTGAGTTTTTATTTCCATCTATAAAAAAAAAAAACTTTTTTTAAAGGATGAAAAAAGTTATAAATTATTACTTTTAAATAAAAAAATAAAAATAAAAATAAACATTTATATGTCATAAGAAAATAGTTATGTGTTATTACTATTATTTTTATATATTATTATATGGATTTTATGTTATTATGATAATATGATATATATTGTTATATAGATAAGCTATGTTTTTGTTACATTTTACGGAAAAAGAAAGCATTACAAAAATTAGTTTTGGAAAATTTAACTCGCTTAGGTTTAAAGTTAAAAAACAACTGAAAACCTTTTTTACAATTTTAAAATATTATTTTAAGTTTACAAAGTTAGAAAACATTTAGTTAAAAAATGAAATTAATACATACATAAATTTTATTCGAATGGCCCGGTTTTCATATTTTTTTCACCTTTAAATACTGAAATACTGTAATTGAGCAGAAAATTATTTGGGTACGTCCAAAAAAGAAAAAAGAAAAAAAAGGTATGATACCCGATTATAAAGATACAAGATATGATACCCGATTATAAAGATATAAGATATGATACCCGATATGATACCCGATTATAAAGTTATACGAATACACATAACTGTTTCAAATATATATATTTGTTGTTTAAAAAATTCTTTACATTAGGTATTATAATATTATAATGAACAGCTGTTTGTATGTTTCAGAAGCAAGATATCCCTGGTTCAAAGAAAGCTTTGTTAAAGAAGGAGGTACAAATTTCCTAGTAAATCCTCTTCAGCTACGCTCTGTGAGACTGTTACAACTAAGAGCACCTAAAAAAAAAAAACAAAAAAACAATCAATATGGAGTTATATAAATATATATTTAGTGTCACATTCTAGTATTCCAGTTAGCTAAAAAAAAAATTGTAAACCCATTTTCATTCTTTTCAACCTTACTGATAAACAAATCTAAAATAAATAAAATCATAAGATTTGTAATCATAACACAAAACTTTAAAAGAATGAACTGCAACAAAATCGATACACCTGAAGGTAACAGAAAAAAACATTGTCAATAATTAGTTCATGCCTAATAATGTTTATAAAAATGTGTGGCTATGAAAATAGCTTTTTTACCTAGCGGTAATGAAATTTTTTTATTATTTCTTTTATTTTTTTAATTTTTTCAAATTTTTTTCTTTTTTTATTTTTTATTATTTATATTTTAATTTTTTACTTTTATTTTTTGATATTTATTTAAAACTTAATCTACGATTATTAATTGCAAATTTATTATTAACTTTTTCGATATCTATTACTGACTCTGTATAAATATTCATCAAGGCTAAACCATTTAAGCGTTCCTCTACCATTGTGCTTCACGCATAATTTTTCAGGCGCCGAAGCAAAGAAAATGTGCGCTCACATTCACATGAAGTAAAGGAAAGGTGGCAAGTAACTGTAGACAAATTTTTATGTTCTCAAAGCCGGGAAAATTTATTGCTTTTAAAGTCTCAGTAATATTAGAAGTGGCATTAACTTCAAAATTTAACCAATAAGCTTCCCATAAGTCAGGCTCACCAGGTAAAGCTAGTAGATTTGATAAATCTACCCTGTAAAATTCATTAAAAGGTACAATACATTATTTCCAACTAGTGCCAGAAGAACTTTAAACTTCTAAAATCATTTTAGTAGGAACTAGGACAAGCGCTTTATAAAATTTTAGGGTAGTGTTGTCAAATCTTGTGCTAAGTTCAATACTCAGATGGTCTAACAAAGGAATTGTGATTGCTATTTTAAAATAATCAGAAACACATCCCAAAGGAGCATTATTTCTTTTTTTTGAAATAAATGAAGTTCTTTGCTTAGCCTCAGTAACATTTAGCTCATGGGCTATTTTTAGAGCTTGTTCATAGTACATTTCAAAGACATTTCTTGTTATACATAAAGCAACAGTAAATTCAAAACCTGTTATTAGCTTCAGAAGCGAGGATGCACAAGAAGACGTTGAGTGATTAAAACTCTT